TGAATATTTCTGGGCTTTAAAGAAAAAAAAGGCTTGTTGATTATGATGCATTTATGAAATTAGTCAAATTGCAGAGTTGGCCTAAATATGTGCTATCATGAAATGTAATTAACACGTTTTTCTGAAATGTAATTCTGAAATTGTGATGAGCTAAAATGTTTCACATTTGACCTTATGGAAAAGGGGAGAAAAAAACCCAAAACAGTTGAATGAGTGGAACACCATTTAGCTATTTGCCCTTTTTGTTTCAAAATAGGTTTTCTTTCTCCTTTCTTTCTTCTCTCTGTAAAATTTTGAATGTTTGTTTCTGTTTTTTTTTTTCTTGTAAAATGAGACCTAGATCTTCATTCAAAATGAAGCTTTATGCTGACCAGGCTTCTCTACTAAGTCAGAGCTGTCTTACTTGTCAAGCTCTACTATTTCATTTTGTTTTTATTTACTTAGAATTTTTCCCTTTTTTGTTTGAGGACAGGCTTGGCAAAGCAGGCAACCCTTGTCCCCTTCCATACTCAGGCAGCTTCTTCCCTTTCAGGAAAGCTTTCTTGTATAGCCCAATCTGGACTTCCAATGTATAAGAGCTGCTGACATAACTCACAATATTGAAGTAGACAAATTTCTCCACATATCGGCTTGTTGCCCACTTTCAACATCACTTTATGTTAATGTTGTAAGTGTTAAACAGTTCTGTGTGTTTTGTAGTACAGGACTCATGTCTTCCTGTCCCAAACCTCAGACTAGCAGAGCCACCTCAAATTTAGGTCCAGCTTCTGATGTACAAAAAAATACAGGCTTCAGTCCTGTCTCCTCCATCAGGATACCTTAATACAGTTTAAAAGCTTGTTTAGTACTTGTTAAAATGCAAGCTAAGGTAGCCAAAGGTAGTGTCTTGGTACAGGGTGGGTTAGCCAATACATGCCAAAACCCTTTAAAAGTCTTTTTCCTCTGAGCATGTAAAGCTGTACAGAAGGAAACATGAAGCACCTGTCTTAGATGTGAGAAGTAAGTCTGTCTGTAATTTTCACCTATAGCCCTTCATCAGTCTCCTCTCTAAATATTCTGTGTAGGTCTTTCCAGTTTGTGTGAATGATGCCCCAATTCCCTTAAAACCTTTGGTGGTAATTCTGATCAATCATATTGACTATGAAGGGCTGAACTGGCCAACTGCGACAAGAGTTTCTGAACTTGCCAGCAGTCATTCATTAAGTCCAAATAATCTCAGAGCAGTGAAAGCTGTTTATAGATGTTTTCCTTGCCCCCATCCCACTTCCCTTCTAGCTTTATTCAACACACACTTGAAGTCTTAGATTCTAACGTAACCGAAAGGGAAAAGGAGCTCAAGACATGATTTTCATTTCTGATTTTCTGCAAACTTCAAGGGCAAGAGCTGAGGGATCAGACCAAAACACCAGCTTCATTACATATTCATTAGAAATATCTGCATTCTATTTTTGCTACTTCCAAAATATCAAAGTATAATATTAGCTACACAGACCTTCACACCAAGGTATCTTCATGCCAGTAAGAGGACTATATATAGCATTCTTGTGGTTTGCACATAAAAATATCAGTTGAAAACTATGTTCCAATTTGAACAGATTTGAAGGCTTATTGTAGTTCTGAGTGTTCATAGAAGTTGAACAAGTTACTACTCATTTATGTTTGCCAATATTATGGTTCTATTATTAATCAGATATTACAGTATTTGGCTGCTTTCTGATTGATTTGAATGACATGTTCTCCTTCAGTGTTAATTAGGTGCAAGCTCAGAGATCTAAAAGATAAGAGTATAATTTGGTACATTTCCTCTAAAATGCATTTTATGTGAGAGATTTGAAGCAGAAACATGAACTAATTGTAACTTGTAAGGTATTGGAATCTTAGGTTTCTGAATGTTTTTTCTTCATCAGCTGCCTACATTTAGAACTTGAAAATTAATTTATCCATTATATGATAAATTATATATTTAAATGATATTTACATAAAAGGAAAACACTCTCTTCAGCTTGTTTAAAGAAAAAACCTTTATCACTTTCTCAGTGTTAGAGATTTATCAGGATAAACCAGAAACACCGCACTGGATCAGAGCTGGTCTTGCCAAGCCTTTTATTTCTCTCTCTCCGTCCCCAGTAGCTTAAGGAAAACGTTTAATGAAGGAGGAAGACTACAGCAAATTTCTCTCTTTATTCCCTGAAAAGACATCCAGATTTTATGTCGCATTACAGCTTCAGTATCTCCACTCTGCTAGTCCAGGACAGTTAACTAGTCAAGTGGTAACACTGCTAGAAGCTTTCACAGATAATTGTGTTTAAAAAACCCCAAAGACTAGTTGTAAACTGAAAACGTTATCAGTTCATGCTTTTAATTCTTTCTACTAAAAAATTTATAAGTATATAATGCATTCTGAATACAGTTAGATGACTCTAAGCTTCTTTATGTCAGTATAGCTTGTACCTGTAAAATATTTATCAATGCCATAGCAGTAACAAATGGTTTAGAATATTTTCTATTTTTCTATACAAAAATCACATAATTAATACCATTGAAATAGGATAAAAGTTTTGCACTGAAGACATCAGAGAGTTCTCTAATGGGGTTTGTCCCATGCCAAATTTTGCAGATGCCATGATGCAATTATACCATAAAAGAAAATTATAGAGAAAAATGTGCAGAATTCTCAAGCCAGTGGAAATACCTCAATGTGTTTATCTTCTTCTCTTCAGCAATGTATTATTATTGTCTTAAAAATCAGTTTATGTTACTACACCTTAAAGCTTAGAAATCACATTCATTTCTATTCAGGATGTGGGAGAAGAAAGTGTAGTTCCTTTCCTTTACAGAAAAGGCTCAGCCTGAGGTGAATAGGATTTAAGACCCTCCCATAACTTCCGCATTTTCTGCTAATTTAGGTGATTGCCTCAACATGTTGATTATTTGCCATAAAAAATAGTAGGGTGTGGTGGGAGTGCAAAATGGGAGTAAATATGTTTTTTTATTTCTCTCTCTGAACATGATTTTTGAGCCATCAGGGGCAGCCAGAAGTGCTTCAGAAGGGAGTGGGGTTCTGCAAACATGTAGATGTTGTACTGTGGCTTGGGATCCCCATTTGTAGGTGTCTAACTCTCCCCATGCAGAAGGTGCTGTGGTGTCTTGGTGCTGCAGGCTCAGCTGAGGCAGACGGCAAACACTGCCTCCATGGAACCAGACTCAGGCGTTGCATATTGCAGGCAGAAAGTACCTATCTGTGATCTGTGTATCTGAGAAGTTTGCTGTGACTGTCAGCTTTCCGATGTGCTTATTCCCATAACAGCATGGTGAGTGCCTCCAACCTGAAGCAGGGAGGGCAGCTTTGAATAGATTCTGATAAGGACTGTGGAGGAATAAGTTAGTTCATCTGCTGGACTGTTCCTCTGCATCTGGCAGATGACTGCTTGATAAAACAGGGAGTGTGGTGGCAATTTCTTGAAGACAAGTGTTCTAAGGCTTTCAAGAAATGCAAGGAAATGGGTTTCAAAAAGCCACCAATTAAAAGAAGTCTGATTATCCAGGGTCTGAGAAAAGTTATGGCCTAAGATAGCTTATTTTGCATCTCTATTAAATTCTGATTTCTCTAGGTGACAAAGCACCTTCAACTCACATTAATTTCAGCGTGATTGGGAGCGATCAAATAGCTTAGGAGATAGGTCTAGTAGATTTTGGGGAATTTGGTAGAGAAAATGGAACCACACAGAGCCTAAAGTGTGTTGGAGACTGTTTCTGTACTGTAACTCTCTGGTCTGTCAAGAAAAATGTCAGATTCTCTTACATCCATGATTCCTATAGCTGCTCCTCCTATGATGCAGGAAAATCTTACTTCTCATGTAAACCTTTGATAGGTGATTTTCTGTTTTTCTGTCTCTTCTGTACATAGACAACATACATGATGTTCAGTAAGACCTTGGAAGCAGTGCTTTTGCTCAGACGTTTCTGCCAAACAGAAGCAATGGAAATCTTTCTGCAAATAATTTATTTACCAGTCTATCCTTAGAGTATTTTTCTTTTACTTTGCCATTTCTCTTGAGAGTTCATTTGGAACCTCACAGTTGGTTGTGGTTTTTTTTAAATGAAAACCCTTTCTTCCTGACACATGAAAAGCACAGAGCGCCCTTCTACGTCTCCCTTTAGACGCAAAGACAGTACAAAAAGCATATTTAATTTTTAGTGCAAAGTATGCAAAATTGCTCTACCCCATCTTGATGGTGTTAACTGAAATAAGTTAACAACAAGTACTTTGGTTGCCTTTTGGATTGGGCAGACTGGAAGCTACTGAAGAAGTCGTGTTTGTCTTGGTGATAGTTTTACTAGCATGAAAAAGTTGTGAATGAGCATGAAGAAAGTTCAAAAGTAATACACAAAGCACACTACCCAACCACTCACCCTTTGCAGAGGATATAGTGGGTGTCTGCAGACTTCACACATCATTTGCATTTATCACTTATACAACGGGGCAGCTTTATTTCTGTGCTGGAACAGATGTTCATGGAATTTCATGCCTTTCATAATGTTTATTTGCCTTTCACAAGGTTCCCAACTCTTTTTACGTAGAATCAGTAGCAAAAGCTAAGTCTCTACCAGTGTTTCTCTACCTCTTCTACTTTTGTTAAGTGATTAGCTGTTTCATTTTCTTGGATTTATTTTATTTTGAAAAGTGACACCTATGAGTAGGCAGGTATCAAAATGACAAAGGTTGCAGGGAAAGCTTTTCCAAGACATAAAGTAAGCAGGAAAATAAAACATTTAACTTCTTTAGAGGAGATTGCAAAACTTGGTCCAAATTCTTAATTTGTATATAACATGCTATCCTTTTATATTCTCATGTTGTTGTTGTTATATGTAGAAACTTTATCAGAAATCGAAATGTTGATTCTGATGAGTTTTTTGAAACATTTCTAAAAAATACTGTTCTTAGGTTTTCAGTTATTATTAGTAAACCAAAGTTCCACTTTGTTTGTTTTTCCAAACAGGTGTGTTTTATGAAGTTGTTCAGAGCTTCCCTAAAGTGGAGGAAAATGCACGAGTGGATTCACATGTAAGCATCCACAGGTGGAGAAGGCATTCAGAGTCTCTCAAATCAGTTGACACCAATAGAGCTAGCATGGGACAGGATTCCTCTGAGCCGGGGGGTTTCACGGATCTGCTGCTTGAAGAGGGACACGATAACACCACCCAGATTGAGGTAGAAATTAATTCTATTTTTTTTCATTTAGTGTGTTGTCTTTGATTGGGGTTGAGTAAAAAAATTGAAAACATTTATTTCAGTGTGCTTGAACATTGATAGGGAATGAGAAACTTGTGGTCTTTGTGTTTCTGAATATGGAAGCCTGTATTTTCTCCTGTTCTGAAGCTTGGAGCCTTTGTTTTCTGATGTTTTGAAGAGAGTCTGTAGAGGTTATCTGTCTCTTTGCTGGAAAACAGTTATGGGAAGCCCTATGTTCTAGCAGTTCTTGCTGGAGATCTTGAAAATGAAGTGCAGTATTAAAATAAAATGGAATTCTTCCTTAGAAGTTGGGGTAAGCACCTCAGTTGGTCAGAACTTGCCTGGCCTTTACTCAAGAGTGATAATCAGACATGTAGGGGGAAAAGTCCTACAGAAATAAGAAATAGGGGAAAAAAATCAGGTTAGTAGTGGAAAAAATTTGCTCATACTACTTGACTGTTGAGCTTCCAAGCAAGAATAACATGGATCAAATCCATCTGTGTGAAGTTTTGGGACATTCTCCTGGTTTATAGCTTCATTCAGTCTCTCTGTTTAAAAAAAATTAACTGCCAGGTTGCCCTCATATAGCTATAAATGTAAATGCCAGTGAGCACCAGTTCTGTTTTTAAAGCTGCTCTCTATTCCAAGTAATATAGGGAGAGCAGGAGCTGACTATAATATTATGTTATGTTGTGATTGATGGGTGCAAAATGTGTCTGCCTATGATGATTTGTAGGATTTCTGCTATTTAATTTTAGTGGTCCTATATAAACACACTGGCTGAATTGATTTTGTCTTTATACACAGATAATAAGTGTTAATATTATAAGTGTTATATTTTTACTGTTTTTTCTTTTAATAGACTCTACCTTTTTTTTCTTTTTTTTTTCAATAAAATGCAGCTTGGAATAAGCTATGCTTAACATTTCAGTCTTTATATTTTGCTTTCAAAGCAACAGTGCTGTTTATTTTCATGTCTGAGGAGCTCATTCTCAGACAAACAAAACAGCTTTCAGATTTTGGGTTGTTATCTGACACAATAACAAAAGCAAAGCAATATAAAACCCATCCATAGAGACAATGCTGAATCTACAGCATGAATCAAAAACTAATAATGCTTTCTGAGAGGTGTGTTTTGTGTTTGTTTTTTTTAAGCTTCCCAGTTTTCACAGTGCTAATTATGTTTCTTCTTACATAAACATGGAAGTGGCTAGTTGGTAAATTGTTTTTTCAAATTCAAACTGTGTGTTGATGTCACGATTTGTGTTTTGCCCTCGGTAATACCTGTCTGGCTGTACTTGAAGCATTTCTCTCAGGCATGACACAGATTGATCCTGCTTCTAATTATTTTAGCAGGTAAAGTTGAAATGGTCTCCAAGGTATAGGGAAGTTTGTGTATCTGATTTTTCCGTGGCTTGCTTGTAGATCCCCATGCACTGCCTCTGTTCAGTTGAGTTCCAAGCTCTTATGAAGCAAAATGGATCAGAGCTCCACCTCTAACACTCGTACATAGCAACATTTAGGAAAAATAATGAATACTTGCAAAGAGACATATACACAATAGCATTCTTCCAGGGTCATCTTTCCTGATAGATTAATGGCCTTATAGTGTCTTAACCTCAAAAGTACATCACCCTTTCTGAGTTTATTAAATTCAGGTTTTGTGTTCTGTGGTAGCCCTCCCTTTTGCAAGGTCCTCCCATCACAATAAAATGAGTTGTGGTTTTATACACTATCAGATTCCATTGTAAATCCCTACTACAGCACACAGGCATTTTACAAAAATCCTTGATGCCCATTTTTATAGAGGAGGTAAAGTGTACAACAGATATTCGCAGCGGAAGAATCCGTATGTAGCAAAGTCTTCTGCAGCTTAGGAGCTTATCAGTAGTGCTTGAGAGCATATTGATTTGTTTGGTTGTTTGGGTTTTTTTTTTTTTGTTTTTAAGCCCTTCAGTGTGTGTTGCAGTTCTTGCTGAAGAAAATCCAGAGGATGAGTACCACCTGTCACTCATATTTAATGACACCACAGAATTACAACATCCCTTCCTCACAGATACTGTTTCTCTCTGAAGTATTTTGTAGTCTTGCCATGCAAATGTGGAAAGCTGCTTTTACAGGAAGGCTGACAATGATGAACATATCTTTAATTTTCACTTGATAATTTTTTCTTCTCTTCTTTATAATGCTGAATTTACTTTTTAGCCAGTTTTGAAAAAAAAAAAAAAAAAAACAGAAAAAGAAACCCTACCCCTCCTTACCCCTGTTTAACTCTTTCCTGTATTACCAAATCTATACAATCTTAATGTTGAAAGTAATAAAATTAACTTGAGTGAAGCATAGCTTAGTTCCACTGGCTTTCCTTGATATTTTAAGGTAATGAGATTTTTCATTTATGTTTTCCCATTTGATGTACTGCGAATTGTTCTGTAACTTCACAGGTACACTGTGCTCCCACCAGCCCTCATTCAGAGGTTATTTTAACATCAGCTTGAGTGGAAGATGAAGTTCAGGGCTTCGGGAACAGTTTTAGAAAGTGCACTGTAAATTGCTTTATCACATCTTTTCAGGAATCAAGATGGAGCCACTACTATATATAGGAAAGAAAAGAATGGTAAGATTGTGTTTAGAGTTGCTTTCTGTCCGGTCCAAAAGCCTAAGCAATAAAGCCATTAGGGACTTCAGGACTTCAGTGTCTCCACATCTGTTTTGTCTCCTTCATTTCTTTGGCACTGTGATTCAAGACAGAATTCCTGCAAAATGCTGTACATATTCATATGCTTTCAAGAATAAAGATGTTCTCTTGAACTAGACTCTAGAAGTTGAACTGCATTACAGAAACTAGCAGAAGTGGTGGCTATAGCCATTTGAGGTGCAGGGCCTTCAGAAATGGGCAGAGCCTTGGGAAGGGGAAAATGAGTCCTATTGTGTTACTGGAGAACAGGAACTTTGTGGTCTACAGGTGTGATGTTGTGGCAGCACAAACCCACAAACCTGGAGGTGCCAAGACAAGGGCAAAGGACAGGAAGAACAGGTTTCTGCTGCAAGCCAGATTTTCTAGGCATATAGCATTTGTGATCTTTCCAGAGAGCTGATAGCAAGTTTGAGATTTTAGGGTAAAAATAATGTATAACAAATAGTTATCATAAACACTTTATGAAACAGTACAAAATCTTGTTGTACTGTTAGTAAGGTTATTTATAATGTGCCAGTTAGGAACTAGAATGTTGTAAATCCAAAAATGTTCCCAAGGATGGAGGTTGGTCCCACTTGTTTTTTTCCAGTTGCTACTTTTGAGCCCCAAAATAAAGGAAGGAGAACATATAAGTCTCTAAGACTATCCTCTGTAAGAGGTTTATTAAGGTTTAATTCCCACAACATAATATATGCAGAGAGAGGAAGCAAGCTCTGAAGAGGCACAGGTGTAAAAAGGGTGAGATCCCATCTTGTACAGGTGAGTAAAAATGTTACAGTCCTAGAAAAGTCCCTGAAGTAGATAGCATTGGGACAAGTGACGAAAAGGTTGTCAGAAGTCCAAATGAGTCTCCCTTTGAAGACAGGAGCATCCATGCCTAAGGATCACAAAACCAAACATTAAAGTTTTCTGCCTGGAATAACTTTGAAACTGTCAGAAGCTGAAGTGTTTCTGAAGCTGAATTGTTTCCCACTAAGCCAGGGGGAATTTTCCAAGTTTGAAATCATCTGAATTGTGTCCCATATGCACTAACTGGTGCTCAGGACTGGCCAGCGCAAAGGCTGCCTCTATGGTCCTGTGGGTGCTAGGCTAAGAGGGAAAATGTGTACTGCATTGTAGTGACATGGATTATTATGAGCATATTTGAGAAACTGGGTGGGACATTCAAAAATGAAGTGCCATTTAGATCAACAATTCTTCCTTCTAGAGAGTTGTTTTGCTTTTTTTTTTTTTTTTTAATTCCTGGGATTTCATACACCACCACCAGCCCCAATCTTCCTTGGGACTCTTGTCTCGACTCTTGGTGGTTGCTGTTGGTTTTTTGTTTGTTGTGTAATCTACCCTTTTGTTTATTGTGCTCAGGACATTCAGAAGTGCCTTTCATTTAGAATAGAATAAGCCTAGCAAATGCAGTGTGTAGGGTGGAATTTGTTGCTATGAATGCTACAAGTCCTTGAAAAAGCAATGAGCATGAAAATGTATTTGAATATGTCTAGTCTGGCATGTCTTCTTTTAAGCAAGGAGAAAAATTGGAAAAATATACTACCTTTCTTCGCATACTCTTATTATGGAAAAGTATGCTTTCTAATACCTCACTGTTAACATGTAAATTAGTATTAATATTGTTAAAATAAACTGAGATTCATGGTATGACCTATCTTCTGTTAATCCTTGAAGCCCTGTAGCCATAAAGGTAATGAAAGCAGGTAGCAGAGATTCTCACCTGTTGCTTTTTGCATTTACTGGAAAAGGACCTGATCCCTGAAATTCATCTGGGATGGATGTTGGGTCCCCCGTATCTACCTGTCCTGGGTTCAGCGGTAGCAGTCATTTTTTCTTCTTCTTAGTAGCTGGTGCAATGTTGTGTTTTTGACTTTTAGCCTGGGAACAGTGCAGATAACACCGATGTTTTTAGTTGCTGCTCATTAAAGTTTAGTTTGACCAAGGACTTTCTGAATCTCATGCTCTGCTAGGGAGGAGGGGAAGCCAGGAGGAAGCAGAGACAGGACACCTGACCCAAACTAGCCAAAGAGGTATTCCATACCACGACACATCGTGCCCACTATATAAACTGGGGGCAGTTACCTGGAAGGGCAAGATCACTGCTTGGATCAGGCTGAGTAACAGTTGGCGGGTGGTGAGCAGTTATATTAATCCCCTTGTTATTTCCCTTATCATTATTATTATTGGTGGTAGCAGTAGTGGTTTGTGTTATACCTTAGTTACTGGGATGTTCCTATCTCAACCTGTGGGAGTTACATTCTTTTGATTCTCCTCTCCCTCC